TTTCATAATTGCTTGAATACAGTCATTGCCTGGAAACAAACCCAGATTTGCAGGCACAGCTCAGTAATTCCCTATGCTGGTGTGGGGTAGGGGGAGAGAACAGAGAACGGGGTGGGAGTGGGAGTAGGTGGGACTGTGAATTAATAGTGGAAATGCCACATCCTAACCAATACACCAAAGAAGCTAGAGAGAAGATTTATATTCCACGTATTTCACTCCCTTTCCTTCTCGACAGTATGAACTTATGCTTTGTCAATGCTATATCATCACCAGTAGCTCTAAAGGATATAGCAAAACACCATTTGGCCCCTCAAAAGTGCTCTGCCACTCAACTAGATCGTGGCTGATCTTCTAATTCAATACCTATTTCACACACATATCCCTTGATGTCACTATCTAGAAATCTATTGATTTCTGCTTTGAATGTGTTCAAAGGTTGTGCTTCTGCAGTCCTCTGGACTAGACAGTTCCAAAAAAAATACACACCGAGTGAAGAAATTCTTCATCTCACTCTGGCATGCCCCTCATTTGGAGACTGGGCCCCCTGGTTCAATACCACACCCCAGTTAGTCAAGGGGAACATCCTTCTGGCAAGACCTTGTTCAGCCTTTTAAGGACATTGTATGCTTCAATTACATTTCAAGGGTGTCATATAAAACTGGTGGACATCTAAATTAAAGTCAAAGGAATTTTATATACTAGAATTTAGGGGCGGCATGGTGGCTCAGTCGTTAGCACTGCTGCCTCACAGTGCCAGGGACCTGGGTTCAATTCCAGTCTCGGGCGACTGTGTGGAGTTTGCACATTCTCTCCGTGTCTGTGTGGGTTTCCTCCCACAGTCCAAAGATGTGCAGGGTAGGTGGATTGACCATTGCTAAATTGCCCATAGTGCCTGGGGATGTTTAGTTTGGGTGGGTTAGGCAGGGGAATGGGTCTGGGTGGGATGCTCTTTGGAAGGGCAGTGTGGACTTGTTGGGCCGAATGGCCTGCTTCCACACTGTAGGGATTCTATGAAATTGCCCTGAGACATTCCTCATTTAAGGAAGGGGAAATTATGTCGAGCTCCTATTTCTAGCCACTGGAGGGCAGTTTTAACTATGAGGAAAGATTCCATCACAGCTGCAATGTTCTCAGTCTGTTCTGGCTGCTGATTTGCATTGTTGTGATTACTTAATGAATAGAAATTAGATGCAAGTATCACTTTTAACAGATTTAGTTTCTACAACTTTGATACATAGTAACAGAGCATGTGGAAATATCATTCTACCCATGCACACCCAATCTCCACACACATCCCTCTTTCCCCTGTCCAGCTTCAACTCTGTCCATCTATAAAGGTTATTAATGTCATCCATCATTTTGTCTATCATTAAACCTGTCATCCCACACATTAATTATCTTATTGCCATCTATTATCCATGCCCACTAGGCCATCACACCCAGCAGTCACACTCAGCTCTTTATAACTGATTCACTCTTGCCACTTGTCCATCCATCGATCGATCCATCCATCATACAACCCATCCAACCGTGCATTCTCCTGTTCTGCCTCAATCATCCATTCCCCATCATCACAGACAAAACAGTCAGTCACCTAGAGTACAAATGGCCAAAGGTAAGCTCCCACTTGACAAAAAAAGTTGAATCCCACCCCACAAACTCCATGGTAACCCTAGACCGTTACCTGCTGTGTCTCCCATCAGCCGCAGACTCTGTGCTCGGTTGTTGTAGCCTGATGCTCGCTCAGGGATGATCGCTATGGCCTGAGTGAATACTTCCACAGCTGCATCCATATTCCCAGATTCTGCCAGGGAAACTCCCTGCAGTTCCAACTCTTTAGTTTGTTGCACTAGGACTGGATCAAACTTGCTATCTAAATATAACACCAAGATGGGTTACACAGATAATCAAAGTTCCAAAATAAGCTTACATCCCCGCTATTTAACTGTGGTCAGCAGCTCACTGCACAGGGAGCACGATTTGAGCGCGAGAGCAGTAGCTTGGGTGCTGAAATAGTGGAATGCTGGTTTCCTATGTACCAAAAGTTTTTGAGGTGCAGATCTCTTTCCACCATCTATGCCTTGATTTTAGAATTCTCATGCTTGATTTCAAGTCACTCAAAAGCCTCTTTTCCACCTTGACTGTCCTCCAATTTCTGCAGTCCTCAAGTTGTGGCCTTGTGAGCTTTTCTAACGTCAGTTTTCCACAAATGATATCCATACCTTCAGTTGACTAGCCCCTAAGGTTAGAATCCCGTAACTTTTCATCGCTGTGTTTACATTCCCCTGTTGAAGCAGTTTGGACTATTTTATGATGTTTAAAGGTGTTATATAAATGTAAACTGTTGCAGGGTGCTGACTTGCTAAGGTAAGGGCTTTCTGTGCAATGGGGTTCCTAAAAAGTGTGTCATCTAACTATAAAACAGGATCTACAGGCACTGGCTCTTTGTGGGGTACAACTCTGAAGAGGATCAACTTTGTTGGTTATATGTTCCTCAGATATGCATCCCCAAGGCATTGACCGTTGTTGGGATAGAGATTCCCAGGGCTATCAATCAGATACTTACTGGGATGCAAGCTCCTGGGAGCTGACCCTCATTGCATTCACAATCCACAGGCAGATATCATGTGCTACACTCAACTTTGCTTTACATAGAGTCCAGTGAACATGGGTCTCAGTCAAACCCAGAGAATGAATGCCACTGCAAAACCTGATCTTGTTCTCACCACAACATCTACAGACAAAACTGGTTTTCTAAAGGGTAACGTAAAGCTCTTTAGTGAGAATAAACAACTGAAATAGTCAAATACTCACCGTCATCAGTTAGCTCGACCTCTGCTTCCAACCCAAGATTGTTATCAAAAGGATTGTTGGGGTTGAAAATGGCCTGGAGCACAGCTTGGTCACTGAGGGTAGACATTTCCTACAGTTGATGTGAAAATTTCTTGCAAAAAGGTACAGCTTGTTCGAAACGGATTCCTACATCTGACCTTGTGGAGTGGACTTCTGACTTCACTCCAGCCAATGAGACTATGGGGCGGAGACCAATGCTCAGAGCACTGACCTGCACACTGTTGTAAACAGCAATGACATCAATCACAGAATATCTGGCAACACAGGGTTTGCAGAAACCAAAGATAATCCCAAAGACACCAATCAGCAGACCTTCAGTCAGAGCCCTACTCTTAACCGATTCCAGGACCCCCCCTTCCTGAGATAGACCTTATTGTTCAGTATCCAGCTGATACCGCGCAAACGAACAATGGCTACTTAGCAAAGTAATAAAAGGCTCAAACTTATTCCCTTGCTAAGAGAAAATCTTATAGGAAAATTTAAGTACTGCAATTAAATTGACTTTGTATCAACACTGAACACATTGTGAGAATTGTGTACTAACTGCAAATGGCAGCATTCGCTGCCTTGACTCAGTGGCAAGTCTCTTTCATGTTTGCCCAGGGTGAAACCTAACCTACACTGAAACTCCAATGCAGTGTAAAGCAAGTGCTGTCCTAGCAGGGGCAGCAAATTTCATGTGACTTCAACTGATGGCCGTTTTGTTTTTGAATGTTGAAGTTCACATTGAAAGGCATTAAAAGTTCTTTTAGTGAGTTCAACATTTCACCCTGATCCAACATCTTCAAAGATATGTTAATCGGTCATTAATCTCACCATTGTAAGTGGAATCTTGCTGTATGCAACTAGACTGCTGGGCTTTCAACATGGAGCACACTGCAACCACAAGGAGCAATTACTCTCGTTCACTGATCTAGTGCCCATGTAAAAACACAATTTCGCCTTACTGGGAAAATGAAACAAAATGGTTCTCAACATTCAAGTCCATTAAATACATCACCTTCAATCTTTCCTGGATACTTGTGTCATAGCAGTTATCTTTCATTCTGGAGCATAAAAATATTATATTCCAAATAGGAATGTTCACTGCGAAGGTTCGCTGGCATTATGTAGGGGCATTTTATTTTCAGAAAGTGACCCAACCTAGCCCTTGACAGGAAATAAAAAGTACCCTTTAGCACTTAGTCAAAGACTAAAGTTGGACAGTACCTTCTGCTGGTGCTGTGAGGCTTTTTTTGGTACTGAACATACTGCACATTTGCACGTGTATGTGTGAACAGTAGCTTAAGTGCTGACTCAGTGAGACAGTGGTTTCCTACGTACTGAAACTTGCTGGGGTGTAGGTCTCTTACCACTCTCTATGCCTCAATTTTAAAATTCTCATCCTTGATTTCAAATCACTCAAAGGCCTCTCCTCCATCATGACTGCCCTCAGATTTCTGCAGTCCTCCAGCATGATTTATTGCACACTTCAAAATTAATGCAAGGTCGCTTCCAATATTTATATTTTATTGCCCTTTACCTTCCATGTTATTTATAGAAAAGAGGAGAAAAATGACAACTTACTCCCAAAATTCATCTTGGGAATTGTCACAAACTAGGAAAGAAGTGAGGGCATTCCAGGATTTATTTTTAAGTTTCTTTTCAGTAGGTCATGCTGCAATTGTTTTTCCTCCGATCTGGATCCTACTACTTATAAACTGTAACATTTGTAATAAGGAGTACCCATTATCAAACCCTATAGTGCATCCACTGGTATAGAACAGTTTACTGACACATACAAATGCAGCATCCCAATGACTTGCATTCAGAACCAGACAGAAAGACAGGTCAAGGATCTGAGATCCTTATCTTTGGTAAGTTGCCTCTTCTAAATACAAGCACAACGTGAGCTACTACAATGGGATTCAGTTGTTCTGGGGATATTAGTCAAAAAATTCGGAACTCTGCAGTGTTATGTCCCAGAACAACATAACCCACAATGACCCTCATCATGCTCTCAAATGAAGACCATACATTTAGTTAAGGTGGATAGGCACTTTTAGCCCCAGGTGATCCAGGCCAAAGTGTGGGGCAGAAGTGGTACGAGAAAAACGATTAAAGAAAACCCAAACCCACATGAAATACACAAAATATATTTAAGTATATCCAAGGATAAACTGGACATGTTTATTAATTAAACTATCACTTAAATAAAAAAAGTGCATAGAAAATGACGCTTAGAAACATTTTTTACAACTATGTACAATTTTTTTACATTCATTCTTTAGCATAGCTTTCAGTTTCGCTGAATTAAAATTACCTTCATTACCATGATATGGTTTAACACTGATGCACTAATCAGATTGTTAATAATGTTTTGCAAGAGTAATGTAAAAAATAACAATTTACAGGAACACAAAAAAGACTGAAAAAATAATTAAAAAAGGTTTACAAATTACCTTGTCATGAATAAAAATAAAACAAATTTCTCACAAAAGGCTTCTCAGACCTGGAACATTTTACATCTACTACTTCGTGTATTCATCTCAAAAGAGACATAAAAATATATTCACATTAACGGAAAACACACATATAAATATAATTCCGTTCTGGTGGGATATGGGAGAGAAAAGGCAAGCGTCCTAGTCACAGAGAACAGGGATGTACAGACACAATGTGTACCCTAATTTTTAAAAAATAATTTAAAATGTATATTCCCCCTCCCGCCCCATCTAGTAGTTATATAGTCAGCTGTCTATTCTTCAGACAATAAAAAGAATAGTGTTTAAATATTTAAAAAAATCTTGGGAAAGTATTACTGAAGCATTATGTTCTCTTAAAAACAATTGAAATTGTAGATTCTGCATTCCTCCTCACTGTTATTACTTTCTGAACTAGGACCCATAACTATGTACTTTTAAACTATCAAGACATGATGGTTTTACATGATCTCTACAGATTTACCGTAAACATCGTATTGCTTTGAAATGGATGCTAAATAGACAAGATGAGAACCAGCCCTTCAAATTAACCCGCTTTTTTTTTTCCAGATGGGATTGTGTATCTCATTGAACAAACTTTATGGTGTATTACTCACTTAAAAAAATTTCGAGTAAGAAGTTGAGTCATTAGAAAAAGATACATTCATTGTAAAACCGCTGTGTCCTACTGTATTGGATTGCAAAGGGGACAATGCTAAACAATTTTATTTTTTAAAAAAATACTAAAGCCCCTCTTTGCCTGGCCTTCATGGGTTTGAGCCTGAATTATTCCAAGTGATTAGCTTGTAACCTTCCACTCTACATGAGGACACACATTTCATCAGTTCCAACCCTGTTACAGGATAGGATAACGAAGTGCTCCAACAGGAGAATGAAAAAAAAACAATTTTTACAGAGGACAAAATACCTGCAAACCTCTGTAAATATTTCTATGGATTGCTAATGACAATCATGGAGACATTTCCAGCCTTGACTATTCTGCAATCCAAGAAACCGAGCTCAAACTCATTTCTCCAATCGTGGTATGCCAGTTCTGAGGCAACTGCTATACAAGGACACTAAATGTACAGAATGAACCTTATGAAATGGTGCAAAAGGACAACAGCAGTGTTAAAAATAGATTTTTGTTTTACTTTGGTGTTTAAAATGAAGATCCAGCCTCGTGGATGCTGCTCAGAAGAACGCGCCTGATGCTAATGCAGCTAGTTCTGACAGATCACGTCATGGGGAAGGAATAAGAAATTTAAGTTGTTACAGAAGTACTTCCTGCCAAAAGGTAATCCTTCAAATGGCATGGATGTCCCAGAAATAAGTACATCTGCCACTGCATGAGCACTGCCCCTACCACCCACAAAAACTACAGAGGTGTGGAAGTTGCATGGATCTAAGTGGCTCTTCATTCATATGGGATAAATCTACAAGAAGCTTGCAGCATCCAATACCAAGTGTCCTTATTGAACTCAGTCCAGCGCATGGAGTGAGCAACGTGTGGGGTATTTGCCATTTATTAAGCAGCACCCCAAACTATAGATAGCTGCACAGAGTACACAGTCAACAAAAAGACCCCAAATTAAATAAATAAATCGTAATAAAAAAATATATATGCACTATGGCAGTATTTTCAATTGTTAATTGGCAGGTTTTTAAACTTCAGCTAAGTTGTCTACAAATCTCAATTTAAAAAAAAATAACCTGGCACTTAATTATATACACTGTATGGCATGGGTTATAAAGGTTTTTAAAAAGTCAAACTGTCAACACAAAGGAACTCATGGCAGCATTTTGCTCAAGGTTCGAACAGCCTTATCGACAAAAAAAAAAGCAGCGACATCTGTAAACAAAAACGAACTAGCAACTAGCCATTTCTTCGGATTTGCCACACTCCCCATTCTAATCCCCATGCCCAGTCAAATCTTTAGGGGTGACTGAAAGCATTTAAAGCTGTAAAAATACGGAAAGGATTTCATCAATGGCGTAGAAACATGGGGAGTCAAGTTCCTCTCAGCAGATTACCCACTTTTCCACTCTCGCACCTCTCTCAAAAGGTGACACTGAGATGGAAAAACAGATGTTACTGGATTTAAGAACTGTGAATGCCACATAACCAGCCAATCTGAAGCCTGGCTGTTAGTGTACCAACAGTACAATTCTATAATTTGGGAACAAAAGGGAGAGTTAAAACTGACAAAACATTCAAATAAGGGTGTCAAAAGACAATGGTATCTCCTGTTCATATGCCTCTGCTGCTGTGGTTTGATGGCTACACAACTATTGTGTCTCTTGGCTCTGAATTAAAAATGGTGGTTGGCTAGGAGGCATGGCCTGCAAGAAATGCAATGATTCATTCACTCCCATGAATCAAGACTTTGGTACACGTACTCAGGCTGCCACCATCTGGTTCACTGTGCTATCGTTTATTTCTTCCTACCTGTTCAAAAAACAAACATTCCCTCCTTCCATTCTAATTTTGTAAAAAATACAACTATATTCAAATGTCCTATATGTTCAAGGGGTTTCAAACAAATACAAATGATATTGTTTATTAAAAATCTCTGCTGGGGTTATAGACAGTGAAAGTTAAGGAAGAACACCGATAATAATCTTTGTACAATGTCATAACTCATTACCCACAGTCACTAGAAATCCACTCTGGATAAAAAGTACTATTTAAAATCATTGCAAATTCCTATCAAGTTCAAGACACTTACTTCCCGTTAGTGGGAACATGAGGATCAGTAAAAAATTCACGCAAGCCCAAACCCTGCTTCAGAATTAATACAGTAACAGCATTTAATTTAGTAACACAGACGGGGTTTTGGTATAAGTTTGATGAAGGACAAGCCACAGAGCTGCGACTCTGGAATCCATCACATTACAACTACACTAGAAAAACACTGCATTCAAAAAGCATGCCAAAGACCCTTTGCATCAATAACCCAATAAACCATTATACCCCAAATGTGTAGTGCTTCACTAGGCTTTGGGCAACTAAAGGTTTATAAATGTATTCAGAAGTTCACATGATTCTGTTCATTGTTTGCACATTTATTCAACTTGTTCAAAATTTCTAGCCTTCTCAGCAAATTCAAAGGGTTTTTTTGTTCTTTCATAGGATTTGGGTGTCATTAGAAAAGCCAACATCGGTTGTCCATCCATAAAAGCTGTCAAAGTGGCGGTGAGTTGCTTTCTTGAACTGTTACAATCCTTCTGATGCAGGATATACCCACAGTTCTGTTATGACTGGAATCTTAGAGGAGAATCAAAGAATACTGGATGCCCATACCAAGGCAAATTCACCATAGTCTTAACAGACCACAGGACTGCTCTCTGATCATTGAGAGATGACTGGTGGTGGTTGAACCCGAGGGTGGCCACAACTCAGGCAAGAAGCAAGGCTGAGGAGAGCAACAGCTGGTGCAGGAATTGAACCCACACAATTGGCATCCCTTTGCATTTGCAAACCAGCCACCTAGCCAACTGAGCTAACCAACCCCACACAAATGACACTGAACTGCTCATCCAATTCTTTGAATACTATATATCTTTGGGTAGAACTAAGGGCATTGAAGGCAATTCTTAAGCCCCAGGTAACTAAAGGCTGTTAAAGATCAACAATACTGCTTTAAGAACCTTTTTCTAAGCCACATAATTATAAATGACTTGAAAAAAACTACAGGTCACTGTACATGTTTAAATTCTTATTGAACTGTAAACTGATGCTTCATATATTCCTTCAACTAGTTATGAAAAAAACTTACGAACAAAATGGCAACAAAAACTGGCAATCAAATCGTTGCCCCTTTTCTGAAATGCCCTGCAATGAAGTAGAGGGGCGCACCAGGAAACACAAACCAAATTGCCCACTGCTAGTCAAGGTTCTCTTCTATTATGACTTTTGGTAACACATACTAACTAAAAAAGTAATAACCAAGTTCATCTTAGCTTGGTATTGTGTCAAACCAACCAGCAGTCATTTATACAGCATTTCAGATTCTGTCTTCACGACTGTCAGTGCATAAAGAACGGTTCCCCCACCACACCCGCATCCTCCCATCCCCCCCCACCCCACCCATTCCCCCAACCCCTTCCAGTAGAACCCCCATTACCTGAACATTAACACCACACTCAGAAGGCTGGTCTTCCTTGTGCTGTAAATATGCTGCCCCGGCAATTCCACCACAAACTTGGTGAAGTGCAATGTCCTTCTTAGGTAAACACTGCTTTCTTACAATAACAGGTTAATACCTCCCTACGAGCAAAGGTGCCCTCAAGAAACAAGCTCGTATCATAGCAGCGAGGAACATGGTCCCAAAAGGCTGGTGGCAGATGGATGTCATTAAGCAGCAGTAACTGAGTGAAGGCAAATGAAACAAGAAGAAAAATCACCAACCCAACTTTTGTCCAGAGGTATAACTGAAGAGAAATAGTGGACAACAAATACCACATCAGGGAAAAATTCATCCTGAAACAGTTTTCCATCCATCAGTCCGTCTAGCTGTCAATTACTGCTTAAAGGGGCACCACTTTGTCGACAAAGGAGGTAGGAATAAAAGTGGAAGGAAGGTTGGGTATGTGACATCTATTTTTAAAAATGAAGACAGTGCCCCTTTAAGAAAACAACTTCCTGATCAGACAAACTGAATTTTTTTCTTTTAGGAAATTCAAGAGAGTTTGGATAACAGGACTCACATCTATAATCTGGATAATTGAATACACAGGATACAGCTAATAATCTGGACAACGGGATACATGGGAATACGGCTGTAGTCTGAATAACAATACACTGCTGTAGTCAGTACAAACACATTAGGTTTAGCGTCGATCTAAATAGCGCACAGTGCAAAACATTAAGGGATCAAGATCTTCAAACATTAAGTCACTGTGATAAACCCACTTGAGATGCATTCATTTGGTCAAAAAAAATGCCTGTCTTCCAGGAGCCAGTTATGGTAGCATTTCAGCATTGAAACAGAAATTATTTCCTGACGCTCAAAATAAACATTTTTTAAATTAAAAGACTATCACAACCGTTATGGTGGTTATGCAATATTTTAGCACATTTCCCCACACTACAATGCAGTACAGCTGTTAAGTGGTGGGGGTGCAGAAAAAAGAAACTAGATGACTAACACACTAGGTGACATTTACCTGTTAATTTAGTGGAGGTATTTAATACCTGCATTAAAAAGTGAATTAAGAAACATCAGACGCATATGTTAAGCATTCGTATGCCAGTACATCCACAACGATATGCTGGTTTTCAATTCCGAGATTCACTCATCGCCGAACTTGAAACATTTGCAATTCCCTACACAACAAACAGTCCTCAGGAATAGACACACTGACAGGATGATTAAAACCAGAATGTCAACATGAATTTAAATGTACAGATGTATGTTCAAGGTTACTTTGCTACCTACTCCCCCAATATGAATATACCTTGAAGAATTCCAAACATTTCAGAAATGTGTTAATTTGTTGGACAGAAAAGTTCAAGTGAAGTGTTAAAGTTATCATGCAGGATTGGAAAGAGCAGTGGTCAGGTGATACCAAGCGTGGGTTTTAGAAGTCTATTGATTCTAAGTGGAAAGGAAGATCAAGATGTTTTATCTTTTAATTTTCCCATGTTCTCTTAGACAGGCAAGACAGTGACGTGATAGTCATAAATCTGGAGCAGTGACTCTGTATGTACCACTCCACTCCACTCAACTCAACAATTAACAAGTTTCCATCAGTGAAAGGGTCAAATTTTTTTTTGTTTCTCCCCCCCCACCCCCCCAAAGTCAAGAAATGGGTGCTAATAGAAGTTTAGAGTTCAATTAACTTATCAGTGGTGCTTCCGCACCACTAGTGCACTTCAAACAAGTGGTGTGAATGTTAACACACGTGTAACTAGCAAGGAGACTTCAGGGGTTACAGAGTTGAGCATACATCAGCAGGCTTTTCCAGCATTAATGAGGTCAGCATGAAGTTTCTATGTACCCTGTTCCTGTTTCCTTTTCCTGTATTTTCCAACATCATTTTCTTAATTTCATCTCTGAATAGCCAGTTCATTAGTAAGTGCAGTACTACTTTGAAGCAACTTGAAAAAAAACTTAAAACTAAAGTCCAAAGAAACATGAGGCAGAATGCTTACCTAGTTAGTGTTAATTCTATACTCTGCCACTCTAAACAAGATTCAAGTTCCAAAAATTCACAAAGCTTTAAACTTAAACATGCGATAACTGCCTCCTGGAAAGGGGAGGGAACTTGCTAGTTTGAAGTGATTTTATGGGACTACAGGCGTTATGCAGTGTTGTACGGGTACAAACATGGTTCACTTCATTTCACTGCCATCTCGCAGTAGATCTGCGTTGAGGAGCTGCTGTCATTGGAAGAAAAAAATTTGAAGAATTCGTTTGTTTCACATTTTAAAATTATTAGAAGCAAATTGCTCCCAGGGCAGAAACTGCAAAACACAAGGATCAAAACTGCTTTCACCCAGTATTGCCTCTGCCTTTTCCACTGCACAGCTGTTAAAGATATTAATTTTCCTCACATACGATCTTTACCTTTCTTCTACTACAGAGGAGATTCTGCTCAAGTGACACAGCTAATTCAGGTTGAATTTCAGTTTTTCTTGTTGCCTTGGTACATAATTGACTGGGAAGCTGGTAGCACTCATTCATTTCACTCAGTTCCATATATGGAACAGGATGTTTTAAGGATGGAAATGGAGCTGTAGTCGATTAGTACTCTGCCATGCAGATCTGAAAGTGATCAGCAGTCAACACTGTTTAGCAATGCATTTTACCAGGTTTGCACTAATACCATGAGCTCCATGAATTTATTTGAATGGCATTTTTTTGCCATTTATCATTTGGCATGAACCCCACCTATACTACAACCATCCTATGACCTTGGTGTTTAAAATCTTTTTTCTACAAGATTTTCATAGTGCAGATTGCAAAGCAACTTCACCATTTCCATCCCAGGACTTTTCTTTCCGAGATCCCATAAAATCAATACAATCACCTCAAGAGGGTTTTTTTTCCCCACCAGTTAATTTATTTTTTCCTCAGTTCAGGAACTTCCTGCATTTCTTTGCTCCGCAGTTACAAGGCAGTTTGTTGCTGGCATCTTCAATCGGGAACTTGTAATCGTATGTAAGTTCTTCACCACGGTAGATCTTTCGGACAGCGAAGATGACTATGTGTTTCTGCCCGTCCACATTTATCACCCGTGAGTAGCAGTTGGGTTCACAGGAGTGGTTGATGAAACGTGCTGCATTTCCGTGCATCGTGGCATCCACAACTTCATAATCATCAATACGGAACATGTAACAACCGATCCCCTATTAGTACAAGAGAGAGTAGAAAAAAAATTAATAAATTAACAATAGTGTATCTTCCTAAAAATACCAACTCTTGCTGGGGTACAGTCCTTAGGACCTAGTAGCCCTTGATTATCTTGCCCAAGTTTGCCCGGATAATGAGTACCAATAGGGCACGTGACCAAAAGAAGCACCACAGCCAATTTTGGCAGTTCTTACAATGTTCAAACAGTTCACTTTCTAGTTTGGCCTGCAGCAGGAGCCCTGACAGACAGTTATAGATCAAGGATATTGAAGCTGGCTAGCACCTCATTGTTGCTTCAACCAAACCCAAGGATCTGTATTGGATGCAGTAAGACACAGCTTTAATCTTATTGATCCACTGGGAAGTCAAATTCATTAAAACAAGGATGCAGAGACACCGGAGAAGGTGCAGAAGAGATTCACAAGAATACTATTGGAATTGATAGACGTAACCAATCAGCAGGGAGTGAACAGGCTGGAGCCTCACAGGCAGAAAACTGATTAGGCCTTTGGAAAATGCATATTCCTCTGGTACTACGCTGTTAGGTTAGGACTCTTTTCTCCAGAAAGGCAGAGCTGGAGAAGCTGGAGGGGGAGGGTGTTGGTGGTGGTGCGTGTGGAGGGTGAGCAGGAGAAAACACAGAGAGAGAGAATGTGTGCGCGCACATGGCACAGGGAGACCCCCAACTGGAAATAATTAAGAATACAATAAGGGAGACAGAAACATTTCCACTAGTGGGGAACCCAGAATCAGGAGCTATAAGCAAATGGCTCTCATTAACAAATCCAATTGGAAATTCAAGGGAAATCTCTTGGCTGAAAGTAGTTCTAATGTATTATCGCTGGACTATTAATTCAGAAACCCAGATAATGTTCTGGGTACCGGGATTCAAATCCTGCCATGGCAGATGGCGGAATGTGAATTCAATAAATATCTGGAATTAAGAATCTAATGATGACTGTGAATCCATTGTCAATTGTCAGAAAAACCCATCTGGTTCACTAATGTCCTGCCACTGAAAGGAAACTACCATCCTTACCTGGTTTGGCCTACATGTGACTCCAGACCCACAGCAATGTGGTTGACTCTTAACTGCCCTATGGGCAATTAGGGATGGGTAATAAATGCTGCCGAGCCATTCATCCCATGAATGAATAAAGGAACAGATACACACAACAGATAGCTAGGTAAACAGAAATAAAAAAGGGAGAAACTAGATTATGCTGGTAGAGTCAGATGAAGAGAGGTGGGAGGGTTCTTTGTAAAGCAACAAAGAGTTCAATCTGGATAAATGCGAGGTATTACATTTTGGTACCAAAAAAAACAAGAGTAGGGCTTATACAATTATGGTAGAACAGAGGTACCTCGGGGTGCAAGTACATGATTCTTCAAAGTTTGTGTCACATATAGACAGGATGGTTAAAAAGGCGTTTGGCACACTTGCCTTCATTGCTCAGTCCTTTGAGTATAGGAGTTGGGACGTTATGTTGAGGTTGTACAGGACATTGGTGAGGCCTCTTCTGGAATATTGTGCCCAGTTCTGGTCACCATGTTATAGGAAAGGTATTATCAAGCTGGAGGGGGTTCAGAAGAGATTTACCAGGATTTTGCTAGGTATGGAAGGTTTGAATTATAAGGAAAGGCTGGATAAGCTGGGACCTTTTTTTCCGACCGGAGCGTAGAAGGTTGACAGGTGACCCGATAGAAGTGTATAAAATAACGAGGGGTATAGATCGAGTTTTTGGTAGTTATCTTTTCCCTAAAATGGGGAATTTTAAGAATAAGGGACACATTATTAAGGTGAGAGCAGAGAGATTGAAACAAAGACATGAGGCAAATTTTTTGTTTTACACAGAGAGTTGTTCATGTGTGGAATGAACTTCCGGATGAAGTGGTGGATGTGGGTACAATTACAATGTTAAAAGACATTTGGATGGATATATGAATAAGAAAGATTTAGAGGGATATGGGCCAGGAGCAGGCAGGTGGGACTACTTTAATTTGGAATTATGTTACCGTTCTGTATGACTCAATGACTCTGTATCCCAGTTGGGTCAAATGGTTTGCTTCTGGTCTGTAAATGTTATATAGTTCCAGCAAAAACCGAAGTTGTTATTTTGTGCATTACACTACCTATCACAGGGAACCTAAAGCAAACAAGCCAATAACAAAAATGATTCATACATTAACCAAGAGGTAAGGGATAAGGACCATAACATACTTAAGTGACCGAAATGCTGAATTAACGTTTTTCATGAAATACTGTTTTGTGTAAATTTGTCAATGTCACACAATCTGATCAAACTGACTGAAAGAATCAGTTCAGTTAATCTCAATTTCAGCTCTAAACATGGCTTGCCATGAATTTTCCCTAGTTAAGGCGCAATGATATGATTAACAATATATATCTCCATTCCAAATCAGAAACCCCCATTAACCTCTCCTTCTCCCCAGTGACATTAGTCAGTTATAAGAAGATATCATAAGGCAGACAATTTCATTTTCATTTCCAAAAAGCAGGCAAAAAACTACAGAAGCAAGCAAGAGCAATCCAAGCATTTTTTAAATAAAATTTTATTCAACAAATACATGAGCAAGAGTTGAAGAGAATGCATAACTAGTTGATCCACAGTATGACTCACAGGTATCCCAAGGTCTGGATCACTAAGATACTTAGCTGCTAAAAATTATGCTGTTTAAGCAAGTATCTCCGGCTAAAGGTACTCGATCAGATAGTTTCTATGAAAGATATGGTCTCAACAGGAAATTCTGAGGCTGACTGCTGGGCAAGGTCTGTACAGATTGACAAGTGCTTATAAATTATGCTGCTCCTGGCCTTGGGATGAGACCAAGCCATTAATGCCAGAGAAACAAGGAAGGGGCTAGCTTTTTAATCTCTCTTTATATACTTTAAAGCATTATTTATTTTTAAGCAAGATGCAGGAAGTGTCAAACATGCCTCAGGCACAAGGCTTTTCTAGCCTGCAGTGCTCCTCACTGAGTTGAGAGACAGAGTTTATATCACGGTCAGCAAAGCCCTGAGAAAATGTCCAAGGTGGCACTATACAAAAGATATTTTGTACATTAGTAGATAGAAGGCTGAAAAATCTGATGAAAATAATCAAAGTTCAATGAAGACTGGTAACTTAACAAGCGTTTGCAATTGGCAGCAGTCAGGCCCAAGTAGAAAATACTATTAAAAGGTGCTCTAGCATACAACAGCCTGATTGCTTACTCTGCTGTTTTAGTGGCAAAACAGCATATCCAGGTATCATTGGAGTTTGGGTAGCAACAAATTCTAATAACACCCTCCATTTAAACTATTAATTAAATACAAATTTCACAGCAAGTTGTCCAACATACAAAATAAAGGCACTCAAGAATTGGCCAGTTTTGAAACAGTTCCACAACCAACTTGGTAATCCCACACTGTGTACATTGAACATTCAACAGCCAAAAAGCTTGCACACAAACCAATTTTTAAAATGAACTGCAAAGTTGCTGCAAGTTAAACAACACAAGCGGGTAAGCTGTTTTATTTCACAAGGAAGGCGGTGCGTCGCTGATGCCATAAAGATAGCGTTATTTCAGAAAGGGTTCATTAAACGGCGGAGAAATAACATCAGTGATTCCCACGATGGCTATCCCAGCACCTGTGGTTATTATCTAGCATAAACCTGCACTAGAAACTCACCTTGCTGTCATAATATTTCTCTCGTTTGTCTGTGAGGACAGATCGAATGACATTACCCGAATATTCGATGACCATCTCACCTGCATCAATGTTTCGCTTACAGAAAAGGCCTCGTCCGTGGATTGGTGACCTACAGCAGTTACAAAGATGGGAAGGGTGGGAGGGAAAAAAAAAAGACCACAAATCATTCATTATGAACACTAAACTCATGGCATTACATCAATTTTACTCTTGGCTAAGTAAAAATTCTGTGACAACTAAAACCAAATCTCTTCCCAGCCAATTCAACAAGTCATTCAGTTGCTTGAATGAGACACTTTTCTCTAACCAGCTGACAGTTTAAATTTTGCATAAACGCTGAGTCTCATTACTTATTAAAAGAGCACAGCAAACTGTGACCAAGAATATTCTCAACTTCTCCCTCTAACCTGATTAGATTGTTTGGAGTTCAGCTGCTTGACCACCTTCTTGGTCAGCTTCCCAAGTTTCACCATTAATAAACAGGAGATCATCCAGGACTCTACTGCCCATATTTCAACTAATATCACCTTACAACTCCTTTTCAAAGTGGTTTTGTTGATCTCCAATGGCTCAGAGTTAGAAGACACCTCCATTTTAAATTTCTTCTTTTTGTTTTCAGCCATGCCTCAAACCCTGCAGATATCTGCACTCCTCCAATTCTGGTCTCCTGAACAGCCCCCATTTTAGTTGCTCCACCACTGGTCACCCTGTCTTCAGTGGCTAGACCCTAAAGAAAGGAACTTTCTCCTGAGACCTCTCCCACAAACCTGCTACAACTGCATGATGATGCTCATGTGAAGCACCTTGGAACATTTTACTATGCTGAAGTCACTACAAAAATGCATGTTTCTTGTTGAGGTTCAACTGTTCCACTGCAGTACTCTGGTCTTGCTCACATCACGGACACTTGCACAGAAGCAGCATGTCAGCCTGCAGATTGAATACATTTACACAAACCGAGTACGGAGATTTTAAAAAGGTTTTATTTCTAAGATCAGAATGGTTTTGAATGGATGAAAAACACAATAGCAAATACAAAACTGAAAAATCCCTCACATTGATAAAAAGGAGGAAGCACTTTGTACAACTGGGTTTTAACAGATCACTTATTTATCGCCAGGGAAAAAAATTCTAATCTTCTTGCCTTCAATTCTTCCTGTGTTTTCTTGAAGGCACTTACTCATACTAGAATACACTGTTAGTTTTGAGGTTCCTTAATGTCTTCATTTAAGGTTAAGAGACGGTGATTGTCTTTTTTCCCCCCAATCAACCTGTTCAGACATATTATTACATACCTCTGGAACAAGTGGGACTTGAACTCAGGCCTCTCGGTCCAGGAGTAGGGACACTACCACTGTGCTACAAGAGGGTTCTGGTAGTTGTTAATTGTCTGAACACAAATAGGGAGCAGCTGTTACACTGGATGTGGGATGACTGGGCTAAGATTGAGTAAATACTTCTCTACAAAAGACAAGATACGTGTCTTGGTTTCAATCTTGCCAACTGGCTTGAACTGTATAAACTTATCAGTCTACAGACCCAGGTACATTGCACAGAGAGTGGCCGTTCTTTGTATGTGCTAACCCAGACAATAAATGATGACAGGTTATTAAATCAGTATATCACAGTTGGGCCCAATGCAGTCCTCAACTGACATTCTCACAAACACTTGCAGAGAAATTTGGTGAACAGTGATCAACAGCAAGGACACTGTTTACATTTTGCTTCTCACCTCCAAGGCATTGACGATAATTGAATTGGGTGGGAGATTACAAGGTAATTACAGAGTTAGGCTATTCAATTAATTTAGCTTCATCCATCCACAACCTCAGCTTGCCCAAATGGAGCATTCAATAATTTCTCCAGGAATTCCAGAATTCATGTCTCAGTTATTTAACTAGTTAATTAACTTCCTATAGCAGTTTTAGTGTCAAGATGAGCTTCATGGAATCAGCCCCAATTTTAACTTTCGGTACTGAAACTTTGGTAGTTTGAACTTCTAAACCCCATCCCGCTCGCTCAAATTAATTTTCTAAATTTATTTTTTCGTACCTTGTATATACATCTAAGATCACCTTAGTTTAATCCTGTCAAAACTCAAAAAGCCTAATATATCACCAATCTTTTTTCATACCTCTGACACTATAGGCATCAACCTTGTTGCTCTCCTCTGACTGCCTCCGGTGTTGATTGTCTTCTTTGTGATAGCTTGACAAAAAACTGTACACAAAACTCATGGCACAGTCTGATGCATGCATAATACAGTTCGAGTAAGACCTCCTTTGACTTTTTAAAAAATTCATTCACAGGATGAGGGTATCACTGGCAAGGCCAGCATTTATTGCCAATCTGTAATCACCGGGGGGACAGTTAAGAGTCAACCACATTGCTGTGGGTCTGGAGTCACAGATAAGCCAGAACAAGTAAGGATAAGAGTTCCTTTCCCTAAAGGAGATTAGTAAACCAGATGTGTTTTTAGGACAATCGACAATGGATTCATGGTCATCATTAGACCCTCAATTCCAGACATTTGATTAATTATTGCAGAATCTTATTAGCATTGTTGATTGCTGGTCTGATGGCATGTCGAGAGTCCTGTCAACTAAATTTCTTGTACAGCAGACACAATGTTTGCCAATGATTGTACAAATGTTCAGCACTATTTGTGACTCCCTCAGGATACTGAAGCAGTCCATGAAAAAAAACAAGAAGATTTGGACAATATCCAGGCTTGGGCTGACAAGTGGCAAGTAATATTCGTACCACACAAATGAACATCTCTAACTGGAGACAATTTAACCACTGCCTCTTTAAATTTAATGGTGTTACCATCACTGATTCCCCCAAGCTCTGCACACTTATTTATTTTGTTCAAATAACTTCATATTTTCGTAGGCGATTCTTCAATATCAACCTCTCCTCGTTTGGCAACATTTTCAAATCTAACAAATTTACATGGAATTTCTGTGTGCAAGTCAATGCAAGCCAGTCTCAGGAGATGCACCATGGACAATAGCTCTGATACAACTCCTGAGAATTCCTGCTATTTTCTACTCCTCAGACAGTGCATCATCTATTCCTAAGGGATATCCTGACTTACCCCTGAAGTAGTTAACAGCAATATTTTCACAAAATGCTTTGTGAAGTAGTGGGTATGCCAAACAGCTTCAACACAGGATGATAACTTTTCAAATAAAAAAAGGCCAACTAGGGTTAGTTAATCAGGATATTTCCTTTCTAAATCCAAGTTAACTGCTGTTTAATATGCCGCTATTGTATCAATACCAGGAATAAAGTTGAGGGTAAATCAATCCCATGATTTTAAATGGGACTGAAGATTAATGGTCCATTAATACTATTTACCCCGTAGAGGCTTTATTTGGCTTAAGCACGTTTAGCCTGTCTGTGGCTTCCAGCTCATGGGTATCAGTCATTAATTCTAGACAAGTTATTGACAGGTAGGGACAGTGAGCTGCTTGGAAGTAATCAATCATTCAGAATCAACTGGCTCTTGCTCACCCATCTGTTTCAAGCCTGGTTGCATCTTTTACGATTTTGTGTCATTGCAGACTGCCATCTTACTTTTAAAGTGTTAAAATAGGCAGTTACAGTCTTATTTTACTTCCACAAATGATGTCATTTCAGGATTCTGGGTAGCCAGCTCCTCTAACCATAATTTAAGAAAACAATTTAAAAGTTCTTTCTTTATCATAAACCATTCAGCCTTCTCCCTGCAGTTTATTTCCATTAAATTCTGGGATTATTGATATTGCTAGCAAATCCAGTTTAATTTTAACGGCAGTCCTTTCTCCAGCATTTCATTATTGGTAATGTGTTAATCTATTTCAGACTACACTCATTTCGAATGATGTGTTAGTTGAGGTAGATTTGGTTACTAAACGATCAGAGAAACTGGATTCTTGCATTCAGGAAATTAATGTTCCTAGAAGTGAAATGGAAGAGTAACTAGAAAGACAATTAAGAGTTCTGACAGAGTAGGTATGATGGATTTCATGGTCTTTTCTCAGTATCACAGTATTATGTTCCTTTTATTCCTCTATGTTAGGATCTTATGTATTTTATAACCAAGTCAGGATGGTATATAGCTTGGACAGGAACTTGCAAGTGTGCAAGCGAATCTGCTGCTCTTGCCCTCCAAAGTGGCAAAAGACATGGGTTTTGAAGGTGCTGTCTTTGGATCCTTAGTGAGTTATCACAGTGTACCTTGTAGATAGTACCCAGCGATGCCCTGTATCATAGGTTGAATTTTCAACGTCGTGGATGGGGAACCAAACAAGTGGTATGCTTTGTCCTGGCTGGTGTCGAGTTCGTGTGTTTTTAGAGCTGCACTCATCCAGCCAAGTGGAGATGGTTTTCATCAGCGTCTTGAGTTGTGTTTTCTGTAGATAATAGGCTAACACTGGGCTAACAGGAGGAAGAGATAGTAGGAACTGCAGATGCTGGAGAATCCGAGACAACAAGGTGCAGGGCTGGATGAACACAGCAGGCCAAGCAGCATCATAGGAGCAGAGAGGCTGACGTTTCGGGCCTAGACCCTTCATCAGAAAAGGGGGAGGGGAAGGGGGTTTTGAAATAAATAGGGAGGGAGTGGGAGGCGGATAGAAGAGGGATAGGAGAGGATAGGTGGAGAGGAAACAAACAGGTCGAAGAGGCGGGGATGGGGCCAGGAAAGGTGAGTGTAGGTGGGGAGTTAGGAAGGGGATAGGTCAGTCCAGGGAGGACGGACAGGTCAAGGGGGCGGGATGAGGTTGGTCGGTAGGAGATGGAGGTGCGGCTTGAGGTGGGAGGAGGGGATAGGTGGGAGGAAGAACAGGTTAGGGAGGCAGGGACGAGTTGGACTGGTTTTGGGATGCGGTGGGGGGAGGGGAGATTTTGAAACTTGTGAAATCCACATTGATACCATTGGGCTGCAGGGTTCCCAAGCGGAATATGAGTTGCTGTTCCTGCAGGGTCTAGGCCCGAAACGTCAGCCTCTCTGCTCCTATGATGCTGCTTGGCCTGCTGTGTTCATCCAGCCCTGCACCTTGTTGTAACAGGAGGAAGAGTCATTCTCCTCAGAATTCTGAGCCGCTTTTGTAGCCATGGTTTCTATGGCTGGACAACAGTATCCCTCAGGATATAGGCAGGGGGAGGGTGAAGAATCCAAAATTAAGTGTATTTTGGTAGCTTCCAGTCTGGCAAGTCTCAACAGAAATCAAAATAGCCAGAATCAACATGAGCTTGATTTTACTCAGAAGGCTCTCCAATAAGCAATTAAATGGATAATCACCAAGAAAAGCATTAGAAAGATATCAGAATACCTGACAGCATATACATAAAAAGATCCTAAGCAGATAATGCTGTTCACAATGATATGTACCAGATCGTGTAGACCCAAAAACGCTTACACAGTACACTGTGTTGAACAATCCTGCAGTGTACACAAAAGATGACAATCTGTCCACATGAACCAGCTCTTCCTTTTTCTTTAGTTACTGCAGTTCTTACTTATTGCATTTAAGTAACATGCAGTTAAATACTGTAGCATTAAGTTAAGTTCTCATGCCATACAAAATCACATATTTGTGAATCTCCCGAATGATCAGTTCAGCTAAGTTTGACAGTCTTATAAAAAGCTTGATTTTTAAAAATCCTCCAGTCTTAATTTGATCTTCCTTTTTGTCGGATGTAATATATTAGAGGTTAAAGTAACTCCAACAGCACAAATTATACATTTGTGAAAAGTTGACACTAACACAACGTAATGGAGCAAATCCATTCACTTTTCCACTAGCAGCTTAAAAGCAGCTCTACATACCGTGCACACTGTGTAGAACTTATTTTCTCTTACCGGTAGACACCAACTGCTTCTTTTGAAGTCTTTTTCAAGTGCCTGAACCGCATGGCCATTGGGAGGTCCATGCTAGTCGCCCGCCTACAAGGTTAAAGACAATAATAAGTTACTGCAATGCCATCACTTCACTATGAACTTCTCCAGGATATTTATACTATAAACATAAACCTCTCCTCAAATATATTTCTTCACTTCTTTGACAGTGAAACTCAGTGATAAAATAGTATTCATCTCAATTTGATTCTTACTTCAAATATATATCTTTATGTCCAAGTTATCTTCTGAAACAAAATGAAATAACCTTACATTTAACACTGAACGCCAGTATAAAAACAAATTACGGGATACATTTTATGAATGGCATCCTCAGTACAAAATGTTTAAGAAACAACCTTTTCATATCCACATTAACATAACTGGAGCCTAGCTGAATTTCAAAACATATCCCATCTTGTGAAAAAATAATGGCTACCATAAAAAGTTAGCTTCTCGTATTATCAGCAGGGCAAGTAACTTGGCATGGCACATTGTGTAAATGAACACAATTTCACTGTATATGATAGCTGCTCCAGTATCAGCATTTTGGATATAAAATGTCCAAGGCAGTGCAAGAAAGAAAACCACGTGCTGCAACAAATTGTGTCCTAGATTCACTAAACCTGCCCATGAGATATAAGCTGCACTTCCATGGGTTCTTAACAAGAACCTTGTTTTTTTTTAATGAAAACCATAGCAAAAGTTTAACATCTAAAATCATGTGAATGCTGTTATTTTTAAGATACTGATCCACTGGCAGGAAAAGGAAGCCATTCACCCATCACTTTGGTAGGTAAGCTGTATCTCAATATGTAGCATGTATTCCTTGATGCCTTTACCTAACAAAGCTGGTTAATTACATACATGTTTACAAATTTATACACCACTGGATAAACACCTAGATTTTTGAATGATACATTACAGTCATTGATTTTGATTCACAGTAACTTTTAAGTATTGACATATAACAAATTGGATGTGAGCTTATGATTAACTGGAGCCCACCGTGCTGATTTAAGCTGCACCTCCTCTTCCTCCTCTTCATTGGGACAATAATCTGGTGGCTGCCGATGTTTTGAAGCCAAAAAGTTGAACATGTCAAATGCTGACTTCCTGCATAAATAAAGATAAAGCAATAAATTGTGGATCTTCTGGGAAATACTATCAAGTAATAAGTACAATATTAAATGCACATTTATCTTTCTTCATTCAATGTACAGCTCATGTTTTGAAAGACTAAAGATCACATTGTTATTTTTCTTAAGTTTTTAAACCATAGTAGTGTCTTAGACCATGAAACTTCCATCCTCACTACATTAAAGTCAACAATAACCATGCTGCCCCCAACTGTATTCCAGGACTTCAAAAACTTTAATTCTCCGGGATTCTCAACAGTCTCTTTCTCTTCCAAAGCACACAAATGCAGAAGTGGCACAATCCCTGGAGGATCTCCAGTTGTCTGCTTTGCAGTAATTCTGCTCGACAAGTGCAGTCCTTCATCTATGACTCTTGTTGAAAGAAAAAATATCCAATTCAGACTTCTAGGGTGTCATATGTGTGGAAGTAAATCATATTCTCTCTCTCAATGATACAGAAAAATGTGAAGCTCTTGTTGGGAAGCAAATTCCATCTCACCATTCATCAAAATTTTCCGCCTAATGATATCCTGTCGACAACCTTATGTGTAGCTGATCTAACCCCCGATCACTCCACTGCAACACAAAGTCGTTTTGCTAACTGAAATCAGCCCAGTAAAACAGTGAACAGCTTGAATGCAAATTTCTACCTTTGTGTTTTACCTTTGGTGTATTTCGGCTCTTGCTGATCCGTGTGGGTTGATAGGAAGCTCATCCACTTCCTGATGTTTGTGAAACTTGAAGCTGTAATTTTTGCAGCGCTTGGCTCCGTAAAGCTGTTCGATTAGGAACACCACTGCATCATGAGAAATACCCAGCATCTTCAGTCCATTTATCGCTGCAAATGGGAAAAAAAATAAAAACTAGCATTTGCATATAAGATTCTGAAAATACTAAGCACTTGAATAACCAAAGAACATCAATTAATACCCTTCAGTGTGACCAACACTTCAATTTTTTCACGGCATTTTATCAATTCTACTTTAAGGACAGAAAATATTAGTAGTTCCAGTTAAATGACATGATGCATAAACTGTATTTATGTTCCTTCAAATGGAAGCACCCCACATGAAGGATAGTGGAAATCCGAAACTCTCCCTTCCAAAAACCGGTTGAGAAAATTTCAAAATTGACATTGAAAGTATTCTGTTAAAGTGCAGGTAATGAGAGATGGAACCATAGCAAGTAAGTAGTTTAGATTCGGATTGGCCATGATGTGAGTGGTTGGTGGATCAGCTCAATGGACCAAACAGCCTCCTCCTATTCCTACCTTCAGGCAGAGCAGCCTGAGACAAACAGATAACAGGCGGCTATGTATTCACAGTTAAACAATAAATGTAAGGACAAATACTCACCATCAACACCTTAGGAGTTATCACTGATCATAAACTGACCTCGACTAGCCACTTAAATGGACAGGTCAGAGGCTTGGAATTCTGCAATGATTAACTTAGCACCTGTCCTCAATGCGTGTTTACGTCGACAATGCATAAGTCAGGTGTGTGATCTATCACGTTCCATTTGTCTGGATGAGTGCAGCTCCAACAACGCTCTAAGCTTGAAGCCTTTCATGACAAAGCAGCCTGCTTGACTGGTACCCTACCTAACACCTGCAACATTCACTCCCTCCACCATCAACAGTACGAATGCACTGCCACAACTCACCTATGCTCCTGAGATGACACTTTCCAAGCCCATGACCTCTACCACCTAAAAAGGGAACGGGCAACAGATACATGGGAACTTGCACATTCCCCCTCCAAGCCACTCAGCTGCTCCTTCAACATTGTTGGGTCAAGATCCTGGCAGTCCCTCCCTAATAGCACTGTGGGTGTCCCTACACCCACGGACAGCAGCAGTTCCACAAGGCAGCTCATCACCACCTTCTCAAAGGCAATTACAGATGGGGCAAAAACACTGGCCTACCCAATAATGCTCACATCCCATGAATGAATGGAGAAAAATCCTGTTGTTTGACAATTAACTCAAAATGCTAAAGCAGACAATCAAAATTTAAATAGGAACAGCAAATAAACTTGATGCATAATGTGAAAACGTTATAATTCAATATAAAGTAAAATGAAAGGTTTTACAATTTAGAACCAAACATCACAAATACAGATTCACATTAACAGTACAGTACATTTTACATTCACACATTTTGCTAGGTAAATTTTTTTTCCAAACTGTGGGAGGATGGTTTTCCAGTCATATCCTGGCTCCTAGGGCTTGGTTAATGCTAATCACACTGATACAGGCAGATTGTTCTCCCTTCCCCACTCAGGAAAAAGCTCTCACTTTCAATAACAAGCACATTAAGAACTGAACACAACACTGTCATTGGGGTAATTATGGCAGGTCAATAATCTTAAGGATATGGGGTAGGCTATTTAGGACTGAGATGAGAAATTGCTTCACCCATAGCAATAAGTCAGCGGAATTCTCTGCCACAGGTTTTGGCCTCAACCACTTCATTAAGACATTCAAGGAGTTAGATATAGTTCTTAAGGCTAAAATGATCATTGGTATGGGGAGAAAGCAAGATCAGGGTACCGAGTTGGATGATCAGCATGATCATATTGAATAGTGGAGTTGCCTCGAAGGTCCGAATGGCCTACTTTGTCCCTATTTTCTATGTTTCAGCGAGCTGGACTCAGTTATTACTGAAAGTTTTAGAGCTGCAATTGCTACTTTAGCTGCTCTCGCCCTTGAAGAATTATCCTTATCAAGTGTAAAACCTGTATTTCCTAACAGCCATCTCACGGGTGAGATTCCCTTCACAGCAAACAACACTCACCAGAAAACGATATGTGCTTCAGGCGGGCATTGGACCGAGCTTCCTGTACTTTGTCAGTCAGCACCCTCCAACCCTCTAGAAAAAGAAATTTATAGTAATTAAATTTATTTTTGCAGACAAATTCACAGTTCTCTTAATTTAGGCAGATACATGCTTCGATTCTAAATGTAGACATCATAAAACCACACACACAGATTTGGAACTTTTCTCATTTAAAAGGGTTCAAGGCCCATATGGCAAGACACTATCAACGTTAAAGAATGAAAGAGAAAAGGGCTTTTAAACTAAAGGCTTTCCCCAACCTCAGAATGTTGCATTGTGCTTTCCTTCTGAAGCTTTGTAGCATTAGAACCCTGAATGCAAAGCAAGGTCTAAGTCAATGTACAGACAGCACGGCCCCAGAAAAGTGATTGTGATTGCAACGTTGAATAAGTTACAAATGCTGGTCAGGATAGTAGGGAATGTTTCCCTGCATTTCTTCAAAGTCAGCAGACAGGACCTCAGTTTCAAGTCTCAGCCAAAAGACTTGGCAACCTAGATTTTCAGGTCAAATCTCTGGTGTGCAACCTGAAAACACAAACATCTGACCTGCTAAACCACGGTTGACACAGGAGAAAGTAAAATAAATAAGGACACAGGGATTAGATACAAAAAACAATTGGGATAGAGTGAATAATGAGTTTTGATTTCAAGTTAATGAGGATGCAGAGAGGTGGTCAAGGATGAAGAACTTGGCAGGTACCTGCTAGCTCTCCTTTCTCTATCGGACAGACAAATTAGGCTTTTTCTAGCCAATTCAAACCTCTACTTCAGTGTGCTGTTTTCTATCTTTCAACTAACAATTGAATATATAATCAATGGCGGTTGCTGTCCATTCTTATAGTTTGTAAATTACTTGGTCTTCAGTATTTAATTACCAGTTTTCAAAACTATTGAATTATTAGTTCGAAGTATTTTTGCAACAACTGCAATCCAGAATAAGTGGCATCCATTCCACCTAGACTACTGCTGATACCAGACTGGACCAATCATTGGGGGAGACACGAGAATAATCTGGAGTTAACGATTTATCTCCAACTGTGAAGTCAAGAGGTTTTGCTCAGCAATTCCTGTTCGTAACAGACTATCAGAACAATCTAAAAGTATGAATCATGGATTCTACCCAATCAACATGTTCTTAAAAGTTTGACTTCTAAGCAGACAATCAAACCTTCTTTTCATCCAGCATGTGGAACGCAGTCCCCTTATTCCACACAGACAACACTTCCCTTCTCTTTCTCTTACAGACAAAAAACAGTAAACCATCCCTACCTTCGATATTATCACATTGAATCTGAAACCCATCGTCACTTGTGATCTGAAACAGCAGACCTTTCTTTGTTTTCTTCTCATTCCTGATTTCTTTCCTCTTTTCTTCTTGCTCAAGCAAAGCAAGAAGGGGAGAACTGAAGGAGTCATCATCATCTGAGCTTTTGGATTCTAGCAGGAAAACAGAACATACATGATCACTAACCCTTTAAGGATGAGCTTTATTTGTACTTTCAGAAAAGCATAAGTACATACAAGAAATGAGCTAACAGGAATTTCTGATGTTCAATAAAATATAACAAAGAACTGCAAATCTAAAACAAACAAATTGCGGGAGAAACTCAGCAGGTCTGGCAGCATCTGTGCAGAGAAAGCAGAGTTAACTTTTTGGATCCTGTTCCGATGAAGGCTCGCTGGATCCAAAACACTAACTTTACTTTCTCTCCACAGATTCTGCCAGAACTGTTGACTTTTTCCAGCAATTTCTAGTTTTGTTTCTGATGTGTTTTGCCTGTGCAGGCTGATTTTGAGTGAAGCAGCACTACAGCAACATTGCTAGAAGTGTATGGAGAGACTAATAATCTTGATCATAGGTGGTGAGAAAAAGTTTCTCTCTCTTAGAGGGCTGAGCAACTTTGGAATACTGTTCCTCAAAGGTTGTGGACACAGGGTCATTAAATGTTTTTAAGACATTGATGGACGATTTTTGTAAGGAGAACGAAGGGTTATCAGGGGTAGATGGGAATATAGAATTCAAAGCACAAACACACAATCGCAATTTCATTCGATAGTGAAGCAGGCTTGAGAAACCAAATAGTTGCCTTCTGCTACATTTTTGCATGTTTGTACAATACAGAGCCTGTAAATTTAAATGGAAAAAGACCCACAGAAATTGCTGCAGAAATTCAGCAGGTCTGGCAGCAATTTCTGTGGGAAGTAAGCAGAGTTAACATTTAGAGTCCAGAGTCTCTTCACCAGAACTGTTAGCAGCTAGGAAAACTTGATATTTATCTGAAATCAACGTTGGGGGAGGGATGAGGAAAGGGTGTGGTGAATAGATAGATGGAGAAGGAGCCCAGAGAGAGAGGGAGAGCGAGCGAGAGCGAGACCAAGAAGGATGAAAGGTGTAAGTAAACAAGGAGATTGAGGATAGCAGGCCAGGGCAGAAGAAAAGCTGAGTAGGTGCTAACAAAAGCTAAGAGAAGGAAACAATGGGTTAGCTGCACTGAAACATCCCATATATGATAATGGGCCTAGGAACATGTGAAAATGGGTGACTGTGCTAAAAGCAACCCATGCCAAAACTGGACCAGTTATGGGGTGGGTTAAAAAAAACATGGAAGAATGAAATCAGGTTCTAAAGTTATTGAACTGGTTGCTGAGTTCTGGAGGTTGCAAGGTGCCCAAGCGGAAAATGAGATGTTATTCTTCAACCTTAGGCTGAGGCTAGCTGGAGCACTACTGCAGGCCTGTAACCAGGGTAATGTGTTGAAGTGGCAGGCAACTGGAAGCTCGGGATCATTTTGTGGACAGGACAGAGGTGTTCTGAAAAGTAGTCACCCAGTTTGCGTTTTGTCTCCCCATTGTACAGGAAACCAAATTGTGAGCAGTGAATATACTCGACTAGATTGAGTGAAGTGCAGGTAAATTGCTGCTTCATCCACTAGATATGTCTGGGGCCTTGGACAGTGAGAAGAGAGGAGGTAAACAGGTTGTTGTTACATCTTCTGCAGTTTCATGGGAAAGTGTCATTGGGGTATGAGAAGATGTTGGGAATGGTAGAGCAGTGGACTACACTATTCGGGAGGATCCCTGCGGAAAGTTGACAAGGGAGGAAAGGGGAATGCATGTCTGGTTGTGGCATTCTGTTGAAGGTAACAGAAATGGCAGCTTACAATCCTCTGGATGTGGAGGCTGGTGGTGTGGTAGGTGGGGACCAGGAGGACCCTATTATTGCTGAAGGGAAGGGTTTAGGACAGAAGTGCGGGATATCGGTTGAACACAGGTAAGGACCCTATCAACAATGATTGTGGAGAATCCTCAGTTGAGGAAAAAGCTGGCCATTTCTGAGGATGCCCGGCAGAAGCTGGAATCATCAAAACTGATGTGATGGAGACCAAGATACTAGCAGAACGGGATGGAGTCCTTACAGGAAGGATGGTGTGAGGATACGTAGTCAAGGTAACTGTGGGAGTCAGTGGGTTACTAGTGTATATTAGTGGTCAGTCTATCTCTGGAAATGGAGACAGAGATGACGAGGAAGGGAAGGGAGGAATCAGAGATGGGCCCGGTGAAGGTGAAATCAGGGTGGAAATTGGAAGTGAAATTGATAAATTTTAAGTTTTTTTTTAAATTCATTCATTCATAGGATGTGGATTTATCTGGCCAGGCCAGCATTTATTGCTCAGTCCTATGGCCCAGAGGGCAGTTCAGAGTCAACCACATTGCTGTGCGTCTGGAGTCACATGTAGGCCAGATCAGGTAAGGAGGACAGATTTCCTTCCCTAAAGGATATTAGTGAATGAATTGGGTTTTCCAACAATCAACAATGGATTCATGGTCATCACGAGACTGAATTCCAGATATTTATTAAATTCAAATTCCACACTCTGCTGTGGCGGGATTCGCACCTGATCCCCAAAACATTACCTGGGTCTCTGGATTAAAAGTACAGTGATAATATCACTAGGCCATTCCCTCTCCTCAGTTTAGAATGAGAGGGGGAAGCAGCACCACTGATGTCATCAACATACTAGAGAAAAAGTTGTGGGGAGGGTCTCAAGTATAATTGGAACAAGGAATGTTCCATGTACCTCACAAAAAGACAGGTATAACTGGGGCCCGTGCAGGTACCCATTGCTACACGTTTGATCCGAAGAAAGTGAGAGGAGTTAAAGGAGAAGTTGGTATGAGTGGGTGACTGTCCGTGTGGAGTTTGCATATTCTTCTGCCTGAGTCTGTGTGGGTTTCCGCTATGTGCTCTGGTTTCCTCTCACAGCCTGAAGATGTGGTTAGGTGGACTGACCGTGCTAAATTGCCCAGTGTCCAGGGATGTGCAGGCTAGGTGGAGTAGCCATGGGAAATGCAGGGTTAGTGGGATAGGGTAGGGGAAGGTGGGATACTCTTTGGAGGGTTGGTCTGCACTCAATGGGTTGAATGGCCTGCTTCCACACTACAGGGATTCTATGATTAAGGTGTGGGTGCAGAAGGATAAAACTAAGACCTTTGCCAAGTATGGAATGCAAAGTCAGAAGATCAAACATAAGTGATTAGTTGGTGCACTTAATTCTTGAGAATTTGGGCATTTCTGCTGCCAATATGCATAATACTGTGATCAAAAAATAATTTATTCACTGAAGGCAGCAAAATTCATGAAGCGAAGATTCAAATCATTTGCTTACTTTGGGTCATAAATTACATGATCCAAAGGATCCCTTCATTTGGAAATGACAATACTTAATACTGCTCTTGTGGCTGTTGGTGGCTCTGCTGAGCTTATTTATGCTCCTGTCGCCTACAGTGCCCCAACCAGACACACAACGGCGCTATAAATCTAATTTTTCTTTCTTCTATTTTCATTCGCCCCTCCTGAGCACCACTTTATTCCCAAAAGTAGCTTTAGGTATGTCTACTGCCTTGTAATCCTTCCTGTAGATGAGAGGTTAGCTCAGTCTTCACCTGATGTCTGCAAAAACCTTGCAGTGGGAGTGAGACCCAATGGAACATTCAAATTGTTGCTTGGCTTAGATTAGCAAATTCAGAGATTAGGCTGAACTTTACACTCAATTACGCAGAGCCTAGGAGACTTAAACAGTCCATTTGGCCCAAAATGACTATGATATCATTTGTACTCAACACCCCTCACTATACTGTACACCCTCATTATCATCTTAAAGACAATCTTTCTTCCAGAACCAGAAATCTGACCTCCTCACTATTTGTATCCAGTTGAAGTACACTAGGTCATTTCCATTAACAAGCACTAATTATTATACTTCTGACATCAGTAGAGTTAAATAATAAAAAAAAGGGCTCAATCTGCTTCTACTTATTTCTAGTCATTCTTGCCTACAGTACAACTATTGAGAGGACTCTAAATGGACTCACTATCAGCTGGTTTATTTTAAATTGGGCTTTATTTCCAGAAGTACAGCATTAAAAAGTATGGAATTTACTTTAAACTTGTATTGAACACAGGTTACACCACAGAGAATTCTGAAGCAACTAGTGTAGATGCATTTAAGTCGAAATAGGACAAGTTGTTCAGGAAGAAGGGATTGTTAGTTGAAATAAGAAAAATGGGAAACTACTGTAATGGAGCATATATACTAGCACAGGCAGGGACAAGAGAATATACATGGCACAGAAACAAGCCAAGATAATGCTATGTGAACCTATGAAGCAATAAAAAAAAAATGGGCCCATAACATTTGTGGTTTCCTTCCTATCTTTCTTCCCTTCATAATCTATTACCTACCATGAAGTCAAGGGCTATGGGGGACAGTCAGGAAAGCAGGCTAAAAGCCACAGTCAGAGCAGCCATGACCTTGCTGATTAGAAATGCAAGCTCAAGGGACTAAGTGCATTAATCTTGCTATTTCTCATCTTACGTTCACAATGACACCACAGGCTGCATAATTCCCCACGTGGGGAAGATGACTGGAGTCCTCACACTCAGTCCTATCTCAGCATTATTTTTAGGGAGTAGACAAGACAAACTGTTAAAAATGGGCAATTTGAGGTAGAAATCTGAAAATGTAGCATTTGGCCCCACCACTCCAAATCAAAGAACGTTAGTGCTCACATATAAAGACCAAGTCACAGCAGTCCCATATTTCAGCAAAGGTGAAACAATGCTTGCTACTTACCAGTGACAAAGTCATCCTGTCCTTCTGTGTTTGGTGTTCCAGTATTCATGGATTCAAAAGGTTGCAGTGTTGGCATATGTTCCATTTGACTAAGGACAAAGAAAGGACTTGCTTTAGTAAGTGTCTTCCAAGGCAGACTTCAGGGTACACAACAAAACAGAGTCACCAAACAGAGGCTGTTAGGCAAGTCTGGTACCCATGAGGATGGCCTCAAACGGGATATCTTGGGTACATGTTGCACGACGGGTGACCCCAACACACTATACACTCTCACGTACACACATACTGCTCCCCCCCCACACACTCACGTACATACACTCTGCCCACCCGCCCCCACTCTCACATACACACACTCTGGCCCTCCCCCCACCTCATACACACGCTCTTGCCCCCCGCCTCTCATACACACAAACCTAAATCTATGGGGTGGATCTGTATTTGCAGAAGCATTTTAGTTTGTTCTAAAAGCATACAATTTATAGACAGTCAATACTGTTTTATAAATTCCTACTTCAGAAATAAAACCAGTCTGACTCCAACCTAAAACACAAACAGATTTTAAACAAGGTCTCACACCTAACATGCACTATCTGACCTAAAAGGTCACCTCTTCTTTACACTGTTAAACCTTTAGTTCTCTCAGGACCGTGACCTGAAAGGAATTCAGGGATTTACATATACACATTAATCAATTAAAACTTTCTAACTGATTAAAGAGTTAACAGCGTCTTATGTTTGTTCAGTACATCCTCATTAATGGTGTGAACCTTTGATCTTTTACTTATAAATTCTGCGTCTGATACTTCCTCTCTCACTAATAACTTAAGAAGGAGTAAGGTTACGAAAGCTTGTGTTTTCAAATAAACCTGTTGGACTATAACCTGATGTCATGTGATTTCCAACTTTGTCGAACCCCGTCCAACACCATCACCTCCACATCATTGCTTTAGTTGATGATGTATTAAGACAGATTTGCTGGCAATTAACTATTTTGATAAGCTCAGTACAAGTCTTAAAATTAATTTTCAAATTTATACGAATGCACTTTCAAAATGTATGAGAGATAACTTGCAAGTTTCTACCAGATGCCAAACTGCTCTGATTTCACTAAGCTGGCCGAGTTTTAGCATTGATTGAGAGACCAAAACAATTTGTTCACTCAGACATGGAAACAATTTTTTCTAGATTTTCTAAGCTTCCAATTATCACCTGCTCTATAACTTCAGCTGCATTCAAGTTTCATGCAGGAAAAACAGAAGACTGAATGTAGTTCTTTGAGCTTAGGTGTGAAAATGGCAATGCATTTCACTGCAAAGAATAACCATAAACTCGGCTCACCTTGGAGATTCGGAATCCCGGTTACCAACTTCTTGCTGGTGCTCATCGAGTTCTGCTGCGTTTTGCACCGTCTTTATCCGTACTCGAATAGATCTAAAATTATGTTATAAATTACAAACATTTAGATTGAGGTAAAGTGTTGTTACTAGGTATGTTTAGTGCATTAGTAATTTGTTAAATGGCAGTATCAAATTTGCCTCAATTTGCTATCAAATGGTCAAGGTCAAAAATCACATGACACCAGGTTTTGTCCAACAGGTTTATTTAATGACACAAGCTTTCAGAGTCTCACTCCTCCTTGAAGGGTCAGTGGGGGGTGGCATCAGACACAGAATTTATAAGAAAAAGATCAAAGGAACACCGCACCAGTTCTATGACCGTTAGAATTTGTATGCAGAAGATCAAAGGGTCATTGAACTGATGCAGAGCTCCTTTAACCCTTTGCTTATAAATTCTGTGTTCGATGCCACTTCTCTCACTGAATCCTGAAGGAGGAGTGAGACTCTGAAAGCTTGTGTCTTCAAATAAACCTGTTGGACTATAATCTGGTGTCATGTGATTTTTGACCTTGTCCACCCCAGTCTAACACCGGCACCTCCACATCATGGCTATCATATGGTGCATTATAAATCCTGTCAAGGCTCTTGAATCATCATGTGAAATTGCTCCCACTATGGCAGGGATTTCAGCATTGCTCAAATATCATTTAAAATGCATTCGATACAGCTTTGGTTTGCGATAGTAAAATCACAGTATGATTGCGCATTTTCCAGTTAATATTTTGTACAAGCTTCACTTACCCATTACACTTCATTGAAATCCTACAGGCAACATAGAGGTGTGTATATAAAATATAGCGCTTGTGAATTATCGGACTTATCCAACAGGTGTCCTGATATTTTACTCTACTTAACGCAAAAGGTTCTGGCGACAGACTTGCCTTGATAATTCAAAATTATTTATTTTAATAAATTAGTTATCTAAGAAGTTGAAATATTTTTCATAATTCAGGAAAGATAGCAGCAAATTTATACAGGGCGAGCTCCCACCAACAGCTATGCAACAGTGGCCAGATGACATTTTTATGCAATGTTGACGGCTAGATAAATTGTGACTAAGACAATGGGGATAACTCCTCTAATTTTCTTTGAAATAGTGCCATGAAATATTTAAATCAGTCTGACATAACAGACAGGGCCTGGCTTAATGTTTCATGCAAAGAAATTAAAAATCTTACTTTATTCCTAGAGGAGACTGACAAATCATTACGTATTTATATATAGTATACACTTATTACTCAGGTTATTACATATATCAGATCACAAAAATATTTTCAAGTATATCAGAATTACTTAAGATCAGATGTATTAAGAGCTACGTCACTTTAAAATGAACATCTTAAAACTTCTTGTATTTTGCTCAGAACACACAGTACTTACTCTGCACTAGAGGACAGGGGAACATTGGTTGAATCAGACTCCAAAGTAGCTTGATGATCTCCAAAGGATTCAGTCATAACATGGGCCGATTTGTGCTTTTTGATGCTTTGTTTGTCCAAAGCAGGTGATGCCCGTTTTACCCTGGGCTTGGCCTTTGGGGAGTCAGAAGACACCATAGTCATTGTATCGACAGGAGACTGGTCCATGGTGGAGGAAAACACAGAGCTCACTGAAACTGGTGAAGACATGCTGGTGGTTGAAAAAACAACTGTGCTGCTCACGACACTAGTTGAGACTGTTAGCATGGTTGTCGACATTTGACTTCCTGAATTACAGGCAGTATCCAACTGGGAGGACGATACAACACCTTTACTAGACAGAAGCTGAGATATCTGTTGGTTTAGCTGATAGGCCCCGTCCTGGTCAGATGAGCTTGGTGCAACTGGTACACTAACTGCAGGGCTGGAAGGCAGCAGACAGATACTCTGAGATGGTGACAGGGGTCCACTGCTGGGGCTATGCGGCGGTGCTAGATGCTGGAACATTCCTGTTCCAGATAATGGAACTGCCTGATCTGATAGTCCTAAACTCTGTTGGCTAGCTTTGATTAACAGATTGCTTATTGAACCAGTGATGTCTGTTGTCCCTAGTAACATAGGGGTAGTTAAGGTGACTGAACTTTGACCCAGAATGTGTCCCGTTACTGTACCCCCACTAGTTGCTGCTGTTGCTGCTTGCATAGATACAACGTTCAAAACTGACTGGGTTGGACCCAATGCTGAGACATTTCCAGCTGCCAAATGAGCATTTTCTGGACCAATCATGTTGGTAGAACCAACTGCGCCCAGGTTTTGCTGAATTTGGGGCACAGGCAAAGGGGACTGTTCAAAACACATTACTGCAGATTTGGGCCTTTTAATTATATTAGGAATTGTTCGTTGGGCTCCAGTGCTAGCAAGTGTTCCTAAATCCACCAAACTGGTCTGGTTTGTTATTCCTCCAGGGACTTGTGACGGTGAGAAATTATTTAAAGTTATATTAGGCACAATTTCTGAAGCAGAACCAGAAGTCTGTTGGTATGAAGGTGCAAGCTTCTTGCCTTTTTTGGAAGGTAGCCTGTTTATCGGTCTTTTTTTAGCCTGGGACGATCCTGGACTAGAGGTTGTGGTAGTGACAAGCTCTGGCCTCTGATTAGATTCTGAGTTTAAAAGTTGCGGATCAGATGGTGACTGGACCCCGATGAGAAGGCCAGAGGGAGAGCTAGTGCTGTTGGACTGAAATGCTGACGCAGTTGGTCCCGCAAAGGAATGTAACTGAGGGTGTTGTGACAAAGTCAACAAACCTTTACTGTTTGCCATTGTGGCAGAAGTGCATATCGATTGGGAAGCTGGCAAACTTACATTTAAACCTGTGGCTAACGCTAGGTTACCTCCCATGGAAACATTTTGCGCAAGGACTGCATTGTTTGTCTCTACAACTGCTTGTGCAGGACCCACTGAAGGTGCAAGATTTATCTTTTGTGTAACGCCACTGGGATATGTCTGGAGAACATAGAGTGGATGTCCATGCTGATTGACAACAATTACATTATCTGTTCCTGGTTTAAGAAGTGGGGTTGCTGTTTGCACTGCAGCGTTGCCAATGGGAGCAGGGCCAGGACTGTCTGCAGGACTTGCAATGTATTTCTGACCTTGAGGTGGCACAGAGGAGTTAACAGATGCTGGAATGACAACTGACGAGCTGGTGCCAACCCCAGTCATGTCCTGGCTGTTAGGCCCCTGCTCTACCTGACTACAGGTTGGTGTAGTTAACTGGTCGGTATCCATGTGGCTTTGCATGAACTGATCAGAAGCCATGTGGCTTTCACCGGATGACTCCACAACTTGATGCCCTATCAAAGAAACTTCAGCATCATTTGCTGTCACTGACTTCTCTCCTGTCACTGTCACCCCCTTCTCTACCGATTCAGCAGCAGGTATATTCAGTACCGACTGGTCTTCTGAAGAGGTCAGCTGTGATGTTGAAATGACAGTGAGGCTGCTGTGGCTTTGATTGGAGACAGTTGGACTGCACGTTGTTAAAACAGAGAGGTCGGATGGCAACTCCAGAGGCAACTCAAATGGCTCCTCTGCAGGAATGGATGCTGAGACATCACTTTCTACAGTTTCTGTGCTGGGGAGAGGTTGGGAAAACACTTCAAAGAGACTGCCCATGTCCTTTCCTCTGTTACTAACAAGACCTAGACCCTCACCCAGCGTTATGAGTTCAGAAGACGATGACTCTGGGCTTTCCCCTAACGCCTGCATAGACTGAGTATTCTTAAGAACAAAGTCCATGATGTCAGATGGAAGAATATTACCACAGTCATCGCTATTGTTATTATCGGAGTCATTGGCAGATTTCAACAAGTCAGTGTTAAAACTATCCAACAAATTCTTGTCTGAAGGTGTGCTGGAGTGGACTCTTCTGGCAGTGTCTAATGAAGTGAGAGAAACCTCCCCTATGGAGTCTTGGCCCTGAGACTTCACTCTGTTTACTGGAAGACAGTTATCTAATTTTGAATCATTGCCTTTCAGGTCAGAAACTGTTTTGACACCATGCTCCTCCTTTTCTACATCATCGACCCCACTGTTGACGGTTCCATCAAGATCTAGGTTTTCTGTTCCATTTTCTTTGGCTTTTATCTTGTTCACCTGTGTTGCTTTGCCTACCGTCGTGGCTACACTAGCATCACTCTCTGTGCCATCATCAACACCATCAAGCTGGCTGATCCTGGGTAGGTGGCAATCCTCCTCTCCATCGAAGAAATTACACGGCTCAAGCCTTCCCTCTCGATCAGAGGTGATTACTGTTCTTGTGAAATTGTAGTAATATTCCATATCCTCATCAGAGGACGTGTTTGGATCGTCAGCTCCATCTACCTGTCCTTGAGTTGATTGTTCTGCTCTTTTCTTTCCCGAAGGATCCCGGTAGAATGGAAAGTCCTCCTCACCATATGACTTTACACCATAAAAGGGAGTCAACCCAAAAAATGTAGTTGAGCGTGCTCGGGCACTCCGGCGGGGATACCGCCTTTTGTTTGAATCATTATCCTGTGTTTTGTTCCCATCTCCATCATCCTGTGAAGTTTGATTTCCACACTGCAGGACATGTTTCTGAAAAAGATTTTTCACCCTTTGCTTGTAGATTTTGTTGCATTTTGGACACCGGAGGACTTCCCGTTCGTTTTCTGGACTTTCTGACATTACAGAAGGCACAACTGAAGAGGATACAGCCTCATCACCTCCCTGAGAGCTGCCCGACATGGATGCGGTCAAACCTTTGTCATGATCTTCTTCAACAAGGTACTCGGGTTCTAAACATCCAAGAATTCCTTGCTTTTGGGAAGCAAGCATTTCTTTTTTGCCAGTGTCAGACTGGACTTTTTCTAAGGCAGATTGGACTCCATCTCCAATGATCGTGACCAGAGGATGCTCAATACCAGCAGATCTGTCCCCAAACCTCTGTTTAGATTCTTCAGTAGATTGAGCTTTCTTATCTATTTCAGCCAACAAATTGCTGGCTCCTTTTGTGTTAACCATTACATCTACAGCAGAATCTGCAGTTGGACAGCCCTCAAAATGCTTTACTGCCTGCACTTTGCTGTTTCTGGAAAGATCAGTGGAGGATGCTTTCGTGCCACATCTCTTTTCTATGCAGTTTGACCGAGGATGCTCGGTTGCCGTGACTGTGACATGGCTGACTCCAGCAGACTGTAGCCTTGTCCTTTCTGCGTCTTGACCTAGAGCATGAAATCCGCTTATCTTTCCTGTTTGAACAGTGTCTTTACTTTGCTCAACCAACCTTCTTGAATCCTTTGGATGGAAAGGTAATGTGCAGCCTTTAGTTTCTTTGGAGATAGATGTTACCGAATTAGAGTTTGTATGCAACCCGCTGTTATTAAATGCTTCTTTCGGTGAAGAACGTGATACAGTTACTGTTGTAACTGAGTTAGATGTTTGTGCTAATGCTGATGTTGTCACTGAACCATCCAATGCATTTACAGCTGTAATATTTTCACCTTTCAAGGCACTGTTTTGAGACTGGCTACCAGATGAAAACAGAGAATGTTCTTTTGAGCTGTAATGCCCTGTGGATGTCAGCAATGACCTGTTAGGTTGGGAACCTACCGCTTGAGAAACTCCTGAAAGATGTATCGTGGCAGAATCAATACTACTGAATCTTTGACGGCTAGAAGGACCAGAAAATCCTTGGTGTGAAGTGCTTAGTTTGCCTGAATGAAATGCTTTATGAACAATTTCACCAAGGTGACTCCCAGTCTCAGTGTCTGATAACATATTGAGCGACGACAATGGTGATGTATTAATGTTCCCACTCGATCTTAGGCATGTCATGCCCATTTGGGAAGAAGCCGCCATTCTGTGCCTGGAATGTTGTGGTGATACAGAAGATGTACTATGTCGTCTAGAAATGGTACTTCTCCTCCCTGATGACAGTAGGGCATCAGCAAATGTGACAATCTCATGAATCATCGGGGTGGGGCTCCCTTAACAAGAAAACAGAGAATATTAATTATGACTATTCCTGGTTTTGTTGTCACATTTTCTCTTCAGGATGCAAACTTTGTAAAATCAAGGATTGTTCCACCTTTCAATGTGAAGACTCTATATCACTAGTACAGAAACAGACCATTCAACCCTGCTCCTCCATTTAATAATACATGGTCAATCTGTACCACAATTTCATATCTCCTGATACCCTTATCTGATAAATAAGTATCAATCTCAGTTTAACTTTCAATTGATTCAGATTTCAGCTCTTTTATGTGACAAGAGTACCCGAAGTTTTACCACCCTTTTAACGTAGAAGTGTTTTTTAATTCCATTGCTGAATAGACTAGCACAAATTTAAAGACAGTGCTTTTTGTTCTGGATTTTCACCACCATCAATCTGCACTATTAATCCCTTTTATTGTTTATTATAGTTCAATCTTCTAACCTTAAGAGAATAAAAACCCCAAGTAATGCACCTTTTACTCAGAATTTAAGCTTTTAAACCCTAAATCATTTAGTCAGATATAGGATGCATCACATGCAGAGTTATCAGTAAACTCATTCCAAACAGGGTCTACTTAATGTGCCTTAATCTCCAATCTCAAACAAAAAACCCTATCACAGCACTGAGATCGTAATTTCCATCAGCAGCAGCGCACTGGAGAAGCAATGACATAGTGGCAATGTCACTGGACTAGTAATCCACAATCCAAGGGCTAATGATCCAGCGACATCCAGTCCAAAGATGTGCAGGTTAGGTGGACTGGCCATGTTAAATTGCCCATAGTGTCCAGGGACATGTCAGTTAGGTGGATTAGCCATGGGAAATACAGGGTTACAGGGATGAAGAGTGGATGCTATTCCGACGGTCAGTGTGGACTCTATGGGCTGAATGGCCTGCTTCCACACTGTAGGGATTCTACATCCATGACAGATGGTGGAATAAAAATCTGGAATTAAAACCTAGCCAACCATGTAACCACTGCCAAATGGCATAAAAACCCTTCTTAGAGAGAAGATTCTGCCATCCTTATTTGGTCCAGCCTACAGACAACTCCAGACCCACAATAATGTAGTTACTCTTAACTGGCATTTAGGGATCAGCAATACATGTTGGCCTAGCCAACAATGCCCACATCCCATAAACATAAAAAATGTGGCTTTGAGTAACATTCCACTTTCACACCAGATGTCACAGGTTTATAATCATCTGAAACAAGCTAAAATTCCTAATGTTACTTTCAAATAATTCTTCTATAGATACCAGAAAAAAAAATTGTGCTATCAAATTGACTTGTTTTAAACCCAAGCCAGATGGTAAATCACAGTATCATCCAAAACCTTCATTTGCATTGAAAATAAAGATTCTGATTTACCTCTAACAAACATGAAAATTCCTGTAGAATACATAAAGTAATTCAGAATAGAGAGAAATTAAAATGTTAATTACAATAATTCAAGTGCCCAAAATAGACTTCATATAAAAGGTTTGAAATGCACATAGTTCCCTTCAAATGAGTTCATGATCTGACCTTTGTGCATCTTTTGTACGGATAACAGTAAAATAAAAAATAGTTTATAATGATAAAATGAGAGGTATCAACAAATGCTCAACACACTTGTATGAAATTGCTCCTCTATCAGAAATGTTATAGTAAATTTATAGTAAATAGGATAATTCATTTGTTAAGATAGGGATAAAGAGATTTCAGACAACCGTGTTACATTTGAGCCACTATTATCTGTCAGCATAATTTCATGGTTGTAAAAATACTTGTGATCTTAAATATTTATCACTTTAGTGTCGTCCTTTATAGTTTGATTTAAACTTATGGTATTGATTAAAATCGATACTACTCAAAGTCAATACTTTGTAAATTCAATTACCTGGTGATGGAAGGGGTCTTGATCCAGTACTTGGGGATCGTCGTGTTGGAGAGAAACTGGATGCCTGAGTCCTGCTGCCTGACTGTAATCTAGGAGGTATAGGCCCAGGTGTGAGGGAAGGTGGATGGCGGTCTGGTATTTCAGACATATTTGTATTGTGACTCTCCGCCATGTCAATTTCTGTCAAAATAAAGCCAAATCAATCAGCTAGATTTCTCAACGGGACATGGCCTACAGAATAACGCAACATAGGAGGCCATTCAGTCCATTGTGCCTGGTCCCGCTTTTCAAAAAAAACTATCCAATGACTTGTAGTATATTTAATGTATTGTTTGGTGGAGGAAAGATATGCTTTCCTTAAGACCAAAGTATAAGTGTTTGTAGATATCCAACTGAAACTTTAGTCATATTAGACGTACAGTCAACTCCAAAGTTGCAGCTCTCCCTTGATCAGCTGCACCCCAAACATAAAAACAGTGGAGTTGCAGAGAATTAATGACATCATCAATCTACGCAAATGTTAGGGCATCAGTTGGTTCAGGCTGCAAATTCCAAATAACCAACTGGTAACATGCATTCATTCTCTGGATTCCACGTGTGACTAGCTACTAACCTCCATGTCCAAAATGAGAACAGTCCAAGGGGATTGATGACTCCATGCGGAACCATTGAGAGTAACCAAACGTGGGAATTT